GAGACTCCACCCCCATCAAGCAAATATAACAAAGATGTAACCTCAAGGGTCACCTGATCATTACGTTTTCTTATGAAATTGGAGTTCCATGAGATTAGAGCCAAACTAGAACAAGCTAAAGAGGCAATCTATGCATTATGAGAGAGCGACACGAAATAAATGTGGAAATGCCACATCAAAAGAGGAATCACCCACCCGGGCGATGAGACTCCATCACGGTTGTTGTTCCTCCAACTACTATCCCCACTGCCATGTCAAGTACTCACACATCTAAGCTCCCAAAGGTAGAAGAAAAAGATGGCAAAACAAAAGAGACTGCTCAATATCACAAACTTTATTGGGGGCAGAAAACCATCCCTAGCATCTGCTCAACCATCTGACCTGCCCGCTCCGCTTGTGCAAACCCCTCTACCATCTCATACCCCTACTCCCACCGAACAATAGGTGGTGGAAGTTGGCGATTAGGGCTGTTCGTAAATGTGTCCGACCTGGTCAACCAGACTGACCCGGGCCGACCAGCCGTTATGTGGTCGATTTCGCTACATACTTCGGTCAGATACGGGTGTAAATAAGGCAAAAAGTCGAGTCTCGGTTCGGTCATCAAATTCAAAAGTTTTAATCCAAATTAAATCCGACCAACTATGAAAATTTATCAATTAAAATATTAAATAGTTTTGACCGTTCGCCTCCTCACATTTAATGCATTTCTCTTTGATTAGAAAGTTCCAGTAGTAGTCCGTTCCATTATTCAAAGTCTTTGTCTCTTTCTCTCTCTCTTCCTCTCTCATTATTTCTGTTAGATTAGACCTTTCATCTCCTTTCACTCTTGTCAATAACTCCTCTTTATTTGTTTCAAAAAATAACTCCTTTTTTTCGCCTCTCTCTCATTATTACGTTACAACTCTCTCACTCTCTTTGCTTTTGGTGGCTAACTCTCTCTCTCTAATTATTCTCTTTGACTTTTCATCACCTCTTTACTCTTATCAATAACTCTCTCTTCTCTCAATATTTCAAATAAACTTTTTCCCATCTCTCTACTTTGGTCCAAAGAAACTCTTTCTCTCCCTTATCATCCGTATCTCCTTTTTTTGTGTGCATTCTGTTAAAAAATATATATATAGATATAAATATTATTATATGAGATGGCGGTGGTACGTTGAGCTCACGGCAGAGATATTGCAACGGCAGAGATGGTGGTTACTCTTTTGTCTCTCACTTTGTCCTCTATCCCCCCAACCCCTTATCTTCTCATTCCTCCTTCGATCGCCTTCTCCCTAAACCCTCTCCTCTCTCCATCTTTGATTATCCTTTCTTGAAACCCCATCCCCTTCTCTCTCCCGTCTCTAATCTTCTTCCCAAGAACTCTCGAACCCCCCTTTCCCTTCTCTTATGATTCTGTTGAATTAAGGAAGATGCTAGTGTTGCACCACCAATCGAAGCCTGGCTGTTTTTTCTGCAACCCAAAGACGCCGGTTTCAAAGCAACAGTTGGATGAGTTTGGTTTATAATTTCTCCAAACTGATGTTGTCAATTCGATTGTCGGTGATCGAAAAAACCGATCCGATCCGACCCGTGAACAGCCTATTGACGATTAGTCTCCTCAGTGGCCTCTGCAACAGAAACAAAAGATGGCCGCTATAGCTTTTTTAGCCCCTATTCATGTAGTGAAGTATCCTCCTTGGTGCCCTAAGTTGACATATAGGGAACGTCTAGTGGATTTGGGGGGCAGTGTCCTCAGCTCCCCTATGCCATTGGCCACTCACTGCTTCTTCCCCTTGATGTGGAGAAGTATCAAGGTCAGACCAATCCCTTGCTTTTTAAATCGGTAATCTAGAATGTTGTTGTGGTAAGTTCCTTTCCCTTTGTTCGGCAATCAGTTGTTTGATATGATTTTACACTTGTCTCATGTTAGCTCAATTATTTTTGCTAATAATGCAACAAATGTATGTGGTCATGCATAGGCTGGAAAGGTTGGAGGTTGTTTGGGTTTTCAAGAAGAGTCACCACCTCCTCTAGCAATTGAGCAAAGTTGAGACGATCAATTGGGTACTCACTAAGGTAAATGTAGCTACGAAGAAGGTACTAGCTAGTGCCGAAGAGAAGGCAAAGTCTTCTGAGAATAAGCTAGAAGAAGCATATTTGAAGATGGAAAAGCTTCGAGTTGTCGAGGGGACCGCTTCGTAGACTGACTATGAGGCTAGAGAGGAGTATAAGAAGTAGGTGTTGGAGTTGTAGGACTCTCTCTTTGGGGACAGCTAGAAAGATGCCTTGGAGAAGGCTGGGCTCATAGCAACACTTCAATTATATCTTCTCCAATGACTTAGCTACACATACACTATTGGTCTCTAAAGTATGCACTCAACACCACTTTTGTCCCCAATGTTATGATTGTGCTTTTTTAATCCAAGTTTTTAATTTAATTTTAAATAGTCCAATTATTAACTTCCATCAAAATTGATAACAAAAACCTTTGATTTTAGGTAAAATGACGGTTTTGTCCTTCGGCTTTTCTACTCCCACTTTCTTCTCTCTTCTTTATAGCAACCTCTTTCCTATCTTATTTTTGTCTTCTCCTACAACTCCCTCCCACAAGCCTATTCCCACTCAATCGCCCAATCCTCAACCACTACTGGAACTTCTCTTTCTCAATTTATATAAAATATGTATTTGCATGTTTTGATGGCGGATTTGTCGCCACCCGATCACTATTTTTCTCCGTGTGAGGTGGTTTCAAAGGTCAAGGAGCTTGGAAAGTTTCAGGATGTGGAGATGCAGAGATCTATGAAGCACCGACACGCTTCCCAAGGCTGCATATCAGAGTCCGACACGTGTTGGACACCGATACGCAATAGACACATGTTTGACACGCCGTCTAACGTGTCTTCTTTTATTTCTTTTTTCTTTTTTTTTTCATCTCAGACACGTCCGAACACTCCAACACATTTGAGACACGCCTGAAGCTTTTCAAAACCCTAGCCTCAAAGAGAGAGGAGAGAGAGAAGAAAAAGAAGTCCCCGAATCGAAGCTCCATGGTCTCTGTTCAGAGACATGCTTGAGACGAGATCCATCTGCGACACAAGGATAAGAGAGAGAGAAAAAAACAAATTTCTACTGCGATGAAACGAATGCTTCTACGAGATCCATCTGCAACACAGGGATGAGAGAGAGAGAGAAGAAAGCATCCTGCTGCAATATAGAGAAAAGAAAGAGAGACAAGACCAAGCTTTCTTTTGTTCCTACTGTAACCAATGTTTGTTTACATTGTCTTCCAAGAAAAGGGTTAATGCTCATGAAAGCTGCTCCATACCAGGGAATAAAGCTCACCTTTTCACCTACTAGTCAAAGGGTCAAAACAGCTAGCATCCACCAACTAATTAAATGGTCAAAATAGCTATTTCAAAATATGTATATTTATATATATATTTTTTATATCGATCATTGTGCGCCACGTGAGTGTGGGTAATTTTGTAATATTTAAATTTTAGTTAATATTAAATTATATTTTTTTATCATAATTTAAAAAATTATTTATATATATGAAGTATATCATAAAAATAAATATATATTTTTAACGTGTCCTTAGCGTGTCGTGTCCCTCATTTTTTGAAAATTAACGCGTCAGCGTGTCCGTGTCATGTCCTTGTTATATCACATGTTTGTGTCCGTGCTACATAGGTAGAGATGAAGGCTAGATGTATTTCATGAGAAAGTTTTGGAACTAGTCGGTGACAGATGGTGGCAGTGGGTTTAAGACAAGGGTGGTTCTGTATGCATATATATATATACATACACAAATATACATACATATAACTATTATGTCTGGCAGTAGGTTTGAGAATTGAGCTTTAGTCAATTATGGGGAAATTGTATGGTAGGTGAAGATGGTGGGTGGGCATGGAATGCGGTGATAGTTCTTCGGTGATGATATCATGGCAGTGATGGTGGTGTTGGATAGTGATAACACCATGTGGGGAGAGCGATCATTTATGGTGGGCCTAGGGGAGGGGGAAACACTATGAAGTGGGGTGGTGGGAGAGGGAAGGTGCAAGGGGCCAAGGAGAGGGGTTCGATGGTAGGAAAGGATGGCATGGAGTTTTGTGGAGGTTGATGGTAAGGAAGAGAGAAAGCGGGAACCAAACAAAGGGAAGAGGGATTTTTTTTTAAATTCCGTAGTTGTCCTTAGAAATTGAATTTTGTTTGTAATTTAAATGGTGTTAATAATTGATAGTAGTTAAAATCAAATTAAAAACTTGAAAGACCTAATCGCATAATCAAAACATTAGAAACCATAGTGGCACTGAGTGCATACTTTAGGAACCCATAGTGCAACATTATGGAGTTCATGGCTAGCGCATAATGCTCCAAATTGGAGTGAGAACTGAGAGCTTGTGCTGATTCAAAAGCTTATAAGGGGTAAATCATTCCATGCACTGAAAGGTTTAGAAATTCAAAGTTGTAATAGGTGTTTGGGGATTAAGTATATTTTGCTTGTTCTTTCTAGTAGCATAGGGGATGTCTTTTTGTTTTCTTACTGGTAAAGGGGATGTCCATTTGTTTTCTTGATTATGGGAGATTAGCTCCAAAATCTGGGAGCTTTGTATTCCTTTATCATTTAATTAATTAATTAATTTATTTTATTTTTGCCAAAAAAAATGTGTAATGTTAAATTAACATATAAAATGTTTATTTAATGCAAACTTTTGCCAATTGTTTTACATACTCAAAATTATTTTATTACTATTAAATTAACTTTCTATTTTTGAACTGATATTTTTTAACTGTTACTAATATAAACAGAGTTTGTAAAAAAAGTTTTGGGAAAGTTCAAAGTGATCATAGAAAATATTAATCTTGTCTTTTCTACCAAGTTTTAAAATTTTCCAATTGAGAAATATGGACTAGGGTGGGTAATATAAGCATCTAAGGACACTAATATAATAAAGGAATATCATCTATATGATCAATCAGAATGGTGCCTCGAATGAATTAGAGAAAATTACCCATCTTTTAAGACCATCCCTGGCAAATCTGCAACTTCTCTAAGAGCCGCCCTCCACCTCTCTACCTTCGCGAGCCCCTTTTGTTTTCTTTCATTGTTCTCCACCTTCAATTCCTCTTTATGTTTTGCAAATGCTTCTGCAAAACTCCCCGTTTGCTTCTTGACATGTGATGGATCAACATGGTAGAACACCGGCAATATTATGTGATCGACAGTTCTCTTCCGTTCAAGTATCTTCACAAGTTCATTAAGACACCATCCCGAAGATGCATAGTCTTTTGACAAAACAATTATTGAAATCCTCGATTCCTCAATTGCCCTATGTAGGTTTAAATCAATTTCTTCTCCTCTCTCAAGTTCGTCATCGTCTCTAAACGTGTGAATTCCTGCATGAACTAAAGCTGTATAAAGATGATCGGTAAAGGTCTTGCGGGTATCTTCACCCCTGAAACTCAAGAAAACGTGGTAAGAACATCGAAACATTGATGGGGAGGCTTCTTTGACTTTTTTAGTGGCCATTGATCAAAGCTCTACTATATGAGAATTAACAACCTGTATGTATGTGCATAAGATATTTCATATATATGTCAATAATGGATAAACAAATCTAATGAAGTACTGAAATTTTGGTCAAATCAAAGTCAATCAAGTTCAAAATAGAGACCAAAAGCTACAAAGAAACTGTGAAATAATAAATGATTTTATGGATTTCACACGAGGTGGGTCCTGGGGAGTATGTGAAAACACAATTAATCACACCCAAAAAATAAATAAATAAACACACAAAAAACAAAAATGAAAAATTATACTGGTAGTCCCTATATTTTGTTGCTTGTGTCATTTTGGCACCTATAGTTTCAACTGACTCAATTTTGACCTTAATTTTAGATTTTAGCTCAGTTTGGTACAATTTTGTCAATAAAAATATAACACTTATATGCACATGTTTTTATAAAAAATAGTAATAATTAGAATCAATTGAACCAATTTGAGACAAGGCAAAAATTTAGGATCAAAATTGAGCCAATTGAAATTACAGCAACTATTAGTGGTGTAATTTGCCCCCCAAAAAAAAACAATCGAGACCATAGATCAAGTAAGGCTCTGCTTAGAAGTTAATATATGTATAGTACATGGGTTTCGCCTTAATTAGGAACACATCCCAAACAAGGGTGTGTGTGTGTGTGTGTGTGTGTGTGTGTGTGTGTGTGTGTGTGTGTGTGTGTGTGTGAGAGAGAGAGAGAGAGAGAGAGAGAGAGAGAGAGAGAGAGAGAGAGAGAGAGGGAGAGATGGAGTAGAAATGCTTTACCTGAATAATTTGAAGATGAAAGATCCCTCCAGACTAGTATTGGACTCATCACTTCCACCAAGATTTTAACAATTATTTGATAACAAAAACAAATGCATAATCACAGAAGAGAAGAAATATAAAAGAGGAAAACAAGATCGAAAAAGTGTGCGTGAGAGGGGAAGACAAACAAACAGGTTCTGAATTGAGTTATAGACTGGGAAAGTCTCAAAGTGAAAAGGTCACAAAGAACAATTGACCAAGACCACAAAGTTTGCGTGAGAGTTTTATAAAAAAAAAATGATATTGTCCCATTGAAATGTATCATTTATTTTTGTTTATTTTTATATTTTTACATTATCTGTATTAATTTAATTATTTTAATCATATTATAAGAATGATCAATATAATTATATTTAATTATTTTAATCATATTATAAAAATTATCAATATAATTATACTAAAATTATAAAAGTTATTATATATATTTTTTTAAAAATTTAAGAGATATTAATATAAATCCTATTATAATTGACGAAAATTTTTGCCTATGGTGTGCGATCTTAAAAGCCAAATTTGCTTACTATTAATGCACGCACTTCTTTATCTATTTGGACAATTTTTTTCCCCCCTATTTTAACAAGAATAATATATAATGCTACATCTACTTAAAATTTTATTAACAATCCTACTAAAAGTATTCATGTCCAAAAATCATTAGAAGTTTAAATATTACTTTTTTTTAACAACCAATCGCATTTAACCATTTGTATTTTTAATATGTTTTTTAATAAGATTGTTAGCATATATAGAATTATTCATTAAAAAAAAAAAAAGACAAAACAAAAAATCGTTGGTGGGAAATTTATTAGAAAATTTTCTTTCAAGTACTTGTATTCTAATAAGTCATATTTTGGACATTTGGTCCATCAAATCCTAATTATCATACTTAAGATATTTTACGAATAATTTTACCCTTACAAATATTTTTTGAACTTTTGGCAACTTAGTGATGTGAACATTTACATTAAATAAATTTAATAGTGTAAATGTTTATATTGACAATGTGAATGTTCACATTATTAAACATTCACTGTCAATATAAACATTAATGCATGTTTCACCCTATTATTATTAGAGGTATTTTAGTAATTAAGTCACTCATATAACTTATTGAAATAAAAAAAAATAATTTAAACTAAATATAGCATAAATAAATAAAGAGAGATTTATTAAAAAATGTCACTTAAAAAATATGAGCTGCAATTTTAATCATTCAACCATCCACCACCTAAATTCAATAAAATATTACCACTCCTTTACATAAACCTTTGCATGTAATATAAACCAAAATTAATATAGAAATCTCACACTTTATTTGGTTTGATTTTTAATTTTTTTTTAAAAATAGAAATTAATTTGATAAAATTAAATATCAAAAATATATTTTCAACCATAAAATGAGTATTTTTATTTATTTTATTTATTTTAAAAAATCTAAAACCTTCAAGATATTGATTTGTGATTATGTATCAATTTTAAACAGTAAATAACAATCACAATCAAAAAATCAAAAACAAATCGACACAACCATTTAACATAGAAAAATCATAATTGGAGTGCCTCCAATTGTGATAAAAAAATAAATAAAAATCACAAGCCAAACTCACAAAACAATCCACTAAGAAGACAAAAAGGAATTATACAAATGTACCCTCAATTATCTAGTGAATCTACGCCCGGATTGAACCAACCACAATGTGTCTCTTCCACCACCGTCTTCATCTCAGAATTCTCTTGCCCAATGTTGATTCCACAACGTTGATGTCGAATCCACGACGATGAGCCACTCTAGAATCCATCAAAGCTTCTGGCCTAAGTTCCCCGGAATCCACCAAAGGACGCTTCTCTCTTTCTGAACAAAAGAATAAGAACAACCCTAGATATTTGACAGCTTGTAGTTCGCTGATCAATCGATCACCTTCTATACACCAAGCAAACTCATATAAAACACCCTCTAATAGAAAACACTTTGTTTTTTCTTCTTCTTTGAAAATTTGGACGGCTCAAACCCTAAAAACAACGAACAAAGCACTTTATAAAAAACAGGATCGCGCAGACCGCTTGAGCGTACATTTTACCGCTCGAGCAGTGTGACTAAAGGCGGCGCGAAACATATAGGCTGACCGCTCGAGCAGTAAAATTTTCTTCCCAAAAGTTTAGACGCTCTGCCAAAGTACTGGATGATCTTTTTCTTTGCTCGAGCACACAAATGACCGCTCTAGCGGTTAAACAACTTCAATTGCACTTTTGCTTTTTGCTTTAGAGGCACTGCCCCTCAACCCTGCCTGGGCTCTGCTTCGGACTTGCCATGGGGTGCTGCCCCATAGACCCCTGCGAGTTGACTGAGTAGCTCGATCCCCGTACTTAGTCAGTAAAGTGGCAAACATGAAAGATCTAAGATCACAAACTCTTCAACATAGGCACAATTCGAGTTGGATTCACATCTAAATACTCATAGCCTCACTGAAAAAAAAAATTGAATAAAATTACAACTGAAACGAGTTTTGTCAAATGTGATTGTTAATAACAAAAACTTAACAATCTCCCCATTTGGCAATTTCGTGACAAAACACACCTAACAAATAAAATCCTAATCACCCCAACCCATTACAGCCAACAAAAACAAATTTCTTTCTCAAGGTCATGATCTGCAAAACAACTATTAGTGCCACAAGAGTATATGAAAAAGCAATAGACATATGACAAGATTATCTTGAAGCATGAGATGGAAATATGAATAGATGAAAATTGGAGACTTTAAGAACATGTAGCATAGCATGAGTAGATGAAATTTTTAAGAAACATGCAAAAACACTCAAAATCCTCCCTTTTTTTTGTCATGAATTGTCAAAGGAAGCTGAATCAACTAAATCAAGAGCATAAACCACACAAGCAAGGATAAGATGATGTAATTATCAATAGCATGCATGAAGTAAGCAATAACTAAGCAGTGTATAGCAACATGCAAACCAACTAATACCAATCTCCCTTACCAAACCAATTAATGTAGGTTCATGCTAAAAAAACCCTTGCAATGATTAACCAAACTCCCCTCACTAAAAGCAACCACAGACACCGAAAACAATGAACAAAAAGAGAAAGACAAAAATAATATGGTGGAGCAAGTAAGGAATTTCAAATTTGTACCTTCAAATACACAAGATTATCCAAGAAACACAATTATTTGAAAACACAAAATGCACAACCTCTAGAAGATTCCTCTTGAAAAAATGTGATGCAACCTGTGAAAAGCATAGATCTTATGATAAAAGTGTGTGTATAGCTCTTGGAGTTCGAAAAACACTAGATTCAAATCCTAGTAGTGATCTGATAGTTGGACCTCCGGCAAGAGAATCTAAACACAACTTAGGAAAGTCAAACCATTAGGAATCAAGGGGTATTCGTTGAGTAAATGCAGAGGCTCCCCCTCAATCAATGAATCAAATTTTTTTTTTTTTTTTGAATTTTCTTTCGTTCTTTTGCGCACTCATTGACGGCTTTCACGCTCAAGAGTATGGAAACCGAACCAAAGAAGCATGGATAAAAGAAGGATAGCCCGGTAAGTGACTATGAGGTAGCCTTTTCCACATGCCTTGACTACAAAGAATTGAGGGGAAAGCTGTAGAGATGCAAAAAGATGGAAGGTGGTTAAGAGACTCAACATCACCCATGATGTGCTAGTATAGGTCAGTTATTCTAGAAATGCAAAAGACACCATGTTAGAAGTCCATAGAGAAATTTGATCACTCATGCGGAAGAGTCCGATATTTGCTAATCCAAGAGTGTGTACAGAATGAGACATACTAATCAAAGTACACACTCCGAAATGAGTAATGACCATAGAAAGCACACACATATTAACATGTAATAGATATTCTCATCAATTCCAATATGCACCCAAGAACTTCTCAAAAATTTCAAGCTTGAAAAACCATACTAAGAAAATCTTTTTGTATTTTTTTAAATTTTTTTATAACGAAACAAGACAAAAAACGAACAAGCACACACAAAGACGACCCAAAAAGAAAAACAAACAGAAACCCAAAAACATAGAGAAAAAAAAAATTAAAAAAAAAACTAAATAAACATGTTAAATCAAGTTAAGCTTTCTCACCCAAAACGCTTAGTATTAATAGTGTTGTGGGAATTGCAGTTCTTAAGTGGTGTCTAGATGTTGTGATTTCTTTCCCCTTCAATGGAAACCCATCTCGACTTGGTTTCTAACCTCCTACTCCAAGGTCTAGACAAATGCAAACTTGCTTCATGTTTGGTCTCAAGAAAATCAAAACAAGAAGGTCTAAGTTGATCCTTAACTTTATTACGACCAATGAAATGTCTCTTACCCCAAGAGGTATTAGAATTTCTTCTATTTGTATGAGACACTCTCCCATACAACTCATAACAATAACGGCAAATATAACCATACATACCACAATGATGACAAATAAAAACAGGGTGTACCTTCTTTTCTTTGACCATACCAACTTTAGGAAAATTGAGAAGTCTATCGTCATGTTGAATTGTTTGCTCTTCCTTTCCTTGAGTTCTGGTATCATAAGATGTAGATGCACTCCATTTTTGCTCTTTTTCACCACAAAAGCTAATGTCACGCTTGTCATAACACATTTGTTGAGACCCAATGATATTGTCCAAAGTCTTTGATCCTTTGTTCCAAAGACTAATGGTAGCCATAGCACACTTGAGCTCTTCCTCTTTCTTGATGACTAGCTCTTCCAAGGAAACTTGAGACATCTCAAGAGTTTTAATCTTTTCTTCATATATTGCATAGATTTGTTGCAGCTCATTCCTCTCTGTCTCACAAGTCAAGAATTTTGCACAAAGAGCTTGTCGATCATTAAAGATCTTGATGGCATCATTCCTACCCTCGAAAAATCTTTTCCTTTAGTTTGACATTCTCACTTTCATAGGCTTTGAGTTTGACAGTGAGCTTGTCATTCAATTTGGACAAGTTAAGAGATTTCTTGTACAACTTTTCATAAGCTTGTTGAAGCTCTTCACCATCTACATCATCCTCATTCTCCAAGGATTCATCATCAATGATATTCTCAATTGGCCTCTTAGGATACTCCATTTGTGCTTCAACTCCAGAAATCGCCATAAAAGCAAGAACTTTTTCATGCCCCTCTTCGCCTTGAGCTTCGTTGTCACTTTCATCTTTATCAGACTCTGATTCATCATCCCAAGAGATA